GGAATGTGCACAATCAAGTCAAAGACATTGCAATCGAACTGTCAGACATTCAAGATATAACTCAAAAGGATGGTGTAATTGAATTTTTGCTCAGAGAAGAAAGGAATGCTCAAGTAGAGTTAGAGAAGGCTCTTGATATTGAAAAGATGTTTCGGCAAGAGAAATCTATAGTAACTTGGCATCTTGAAGAAGATAGAAATACCTCTTTTTTCATAGTATGGCTGTGATTAAAAGCTCTAGAAATTGATCACTCTACTGAAGGATGGGGAAATTATAACCATTGAGCCTATGAACATTTCCAATCATGCAGTTCTTGTTTCTCCAATCATGCAGTATTTTGTGGCTACCACCCCTAATATTGTTTTCAACTACACAGATTGTTCCTGACACTGATGAGCCTGATGTTGGTAAACACCCTGGACAAAGTTTTTTCTAAAAATTATTGGGATTCCTTAGCCAATGTTGAAAAGGTCCCTGACCGTGGTGCTTTTTCCTCTTGTTGTATCCAATCTTAAAAAAAAACAAAAGCCAACTCCATGAATTCTAACCAGAAATACGGTACTAGGTCCCCAAACAGGCCTTAAATCTCATTTCTTATGAAGAGCACTTTTTGGAGCATCCGGGTATTAAAAGGTATTTTAGTATTTTTAATTATTTTAGATAACTTAGTTATTAAGTGTATTCTATTAGGGTCTATGTGGAATTCCTTTTTGTGTATAAATAGACGGGTTGTAAATGTCATAAATACAACAACAACATTTATTCCTCTTGTAGCTTTTACAACCTTCATTCTCTTTGCTCTCTTAAATATATTCCTTTTGTTCATCACCTTGTACACCGACAAATTGGTATCTATAGCTCTGGTTCTGATTCATGGGAAATACGAGTGGAACTGTGAGGCGTTGTATGATTGATTTTAGTTCTTGAATTCGTGTTGAATCTTGAACAAAATCTGAACAGAATCATATTTTCTGATTCTGTGGGATTGGGAAACACTGTGTTTGTGAGATCTGAGTGTTTTATACAAGATTGAAGATGAACGGAAACAATAATCTGAGTACCTGTTTATCGTGGTTTTTGGGTAAACAACTGATGATCCTCCAAAAAGGAAAGTCCTTCTGGTTACTCGCGGGATCGATCAGATTGATCCTATAACATATGCTAACTTTTATACTGGATTGATGTAAAATAAGAAAAGAAATCCAGGAAGAACGCACGTTCGACCAAAGACAGGATACTTGTGATTTTGGAAAGTAAGAAAGTTAATAGAAATGTAGAAACGCGGGTAAAGATGCAGGAAAAGTAACTTAGCAAAATAAGATTAAAGCAATGTAAAGAGATTTTATTAATTAAAAGCGGTGTTTCCAACGTACATTTCTCAGTTTATCCTTTCTCACACAGCGGATACTTGGACAATATTTGAGTAACTAGCACAATAGGTTAAACACCCCAAAAAACTACACAGATTTCCTAATTTATACTAAAAATTATGTAACCGTCGATGAGTGGTTCTGCGCTAAGATGAGGACAAGTGTCATCTGCATGTCCCTCAACCTCTAGCTTCCAGCCATGTTGCTTTTCTTTGGCTACTGGCGAAACCGTCTTTTCCTCCAATAATTCAAATTCAAATATCCCTCGCTTTTGGTGTCGACGCAAGGATATTCTCTTCTAGTCGAAGGTCATAAGACCTTCTCAGTCGAAATCTTGATAGTGAGTCCTGGTCGAAGACTAAAATATAACTTAAATATTTTCTCTAAGTTATTTCACACGTCGAAACATTCTTCAGCTTGGTTTTATTTATTCCAGTTTTGGTCTAAAAGACCAAATATAGTAGGTGTCGAATTCAGGAGCCAACAAATTGCCCCCCAAGAATGTCTATTTTGACGCCAAAAGAAATAGCCATTCTTTGATCTTTCCGTTCGACACCTATCTCTCTTGCTGTCCACAAAGGCCTGATGTGTGCTTTTCGTCTTCCAACAGTTGCCGCTTTTGAAAACCCTTCATTACTCTTTTTCCAAGACGTCTTTTCCAACTGTCGTTACCACGCTGCCATGATGACCATATTCCTATAACCTAGGCAAGCATGTCAAAACATTTCCCATCGTCTGCACGGTAACCGCTTCAAGGTCCGCCACGTGCCCCACTATCTTCATAGCATTAAATGGCTTTGACGAGACATATTCCTTTATGAAGACTAAAAATACTCTTGAGCCTCTTCATTTGGAACTTTCATAACTCTAAGTATTTCCAAGTCTTCTGCTTAAAACACCTTGCATTGTCAATTTCGCTTCTTTCAAATCTGCAAAAATGGCTTTCCTTTCTAATGCACCAAACAACCACAAACCTAAAAATGCTGCTGATATCCCAAGCCAACCAGAGATCTTTCCTACCAACCTTTCTCCTGCTTCGACTGATGGGCTACGGTTCATTTATGAACCCATAACTAGAGAAAGGCGAGAAGCATATGATTCTCAGCTTCTCATTCCCATTAGATACTCTGAAGACATATACACTATGTCTGGTCCTCTATCCAACTGCATCGATAATCCTATGAAGAACTGTGCCTTCTTCCCTACTCATCCAAGACTTAAACCTATAGGCTGCGTGAAGAAGCCTAGGGACGATCCTGAGGACGCAACTCCGGCCAACCAGCAACACACTCAGACCACGGGGGACATTAACCTTCAATTTATGAACAAAGGGACCAGAATCTTTCGATCATGCCCTAATCTCTCATCAGAGTATTCAGATTGGTTAAATAAGGTGGAGAAGGTGCGAACCTCTGTCTGGAAAGACATGGGGATTTACGATTTGGTGATGCTGTCAAAGATAGGATTGTCTTATTGTCCTCTGATATTAGTATCTTCGCTATATTTCTGGGATAGTGCATACTTCACCTTTCATCTTCCTTGTGGTATGGTAACCCCAACCCTCTTCGATATAGCAACAATCACTGGTCTTCGACCGATCGGCAATTATTTCAACCCAGAGGACCTATCTGAGGATGATATTGGGTTTTCAGCTACAAAACCTACATACACCACCTTCATCAACCACTTCAATGATAAATCCTCCAGTATTGTGTCGGAGGTGGAACATATAGCTTTCCTGGCTATGTGGTTATCCCGTTTTGTCTTCTGCACCAAGTCGCTTCAGGTGACGAAGAAAATGCTCACGCTCGCAACACAGCTTCATCATGGCTACCCCCTTTGCCTGGCCGAATTGATTTTGGCCAATCTATATGAGTCCATCAGCAATGGTGTGACTCAATTCAAGGTTATAGGGGATAGGGCAAGCTTGCTGCTTTCTGGCCCTTTTTGGCTTCTTCAACTTTGGCTCAATGCCACCTTCGAATCTTTTCTTCCCCAGAAGAATAAGATCAATGAAGTGGCCCCAGAAATCCTGAACAGGAGGGTCGAAGGTACCAAAATTGCTTTGCTGACCCCTACTAATGAAGGCCAACAGTTTCAAAAGGACTTCACAAGCTTCGTGATGATATTTGCGGAGCGCAAACGTTTTTTTCCGACCATGGCTCCTTTTGCCAGTCGAAAAGTCGGCCCAGAATGGTTTACTAGACCATTTCCTTCGACTGAGGAGGAACACTTGGACGATGAATATGTGGGCATGTGGGAGTCGTTTCTTTGACCTATAATCATGCCATTGAGATTCAAGAGCTCAAAGAATCAATTAAGCTTGATTACTTATCAACCAAATCTTGTCTCTCGACAATTTGGCATTGTTCAGTCTCTCCCCTTACCCATTTATCCTCGAGAGAAACTGTTGTTATTTTACAACGCAGACTACTCAAAAGATGCCGCTACCAAGCACATTGGTAGGTACGCTGGTCGAACCGTACTAACCATGTTCGACTTTAATCTCAATTTTTTGTGTTCTGGCAATTTTGAAGGATGGTGGAGGCAGTATTATGATGAGGAGTTCTTCGATGAGAAGGACTTCGCCCACCACCTTCATGAGGCGTTTAAACTGGTCCTCGACAAGATCAAGAAAGGTATCACTTCTTTTCTTTTCTCTTTGCCTCAGATTTAGTCATTCGACGCTTGACTAATCTTCGTTTTTTTTGTATAGCTGTCAAGAGGACCACTTCGAAGAAGGCTGCTGAAAGCATAAAAGGGGGAGACCCTTCTGTTAACCATTCTCCCAAGGTATTTACTTTCTTCTATACCCTTATTCTTTACGATCATCTGATATGGATACTTATTTCTTCAACTTATCTTTCTGGGTA